TGGTGGCTTGAAAACCTCTCCATCGGGAGAAGAAGGAGAGGAGAGCCAGTGGGTGTGGGTAGAGCTCCCTGTAAGCCTCCTGGAATAATTCCAGAGGCTTGGAGGGCAAGAGCTCCCCGGTCAGCCCACTGAAGCTCCGGATCCAGGACGACTCTGTTTTAAACAGAGCCAGACGTCGCAACCAACTCTGCAGGCAAAAGTGAGATTGATTGAATACAAGAGCAGACAGAGCGGAAACAGGAGAACAAGCATTTGCAAATAACAGCACTTAACTCTGGGTTTACATTGTTTCTAATTGAATTTTTTTGAGCTGGAGGCTGAAGATGGCACCTTTGTTGTGGGCATGAAAGTGAAAGTTAGAAATGAAAGTGCTTATTGAGAGTTTTGCGCTTTGAGAGTGGATTAAAGCTGCTGGGAATTGAGAGTTTGGTGGACAAAAGACTATTTTGTTTGACAAACTATAAACTATAAACTTTTAAAAATTGTTCAAGAGACTTTGTGGCTGTGAAAGGGAAAAAGACTTTTTAAAATAAGATGGCTTCCAAGCAAGCTAAGCCAGGAGTTTCTAAAAGTGGAGGAGGTTCTCCAGTAGTGTCAGTAGTGACACAGAAAGCACAACTTCCGGCTGATTCACAGAGCCAGGAGGCTTCTTTTAAAGAACTTAAAGAATTTATAAAAGAAGCCATGAATAATCAAACTGCAGCTATGAACAACCAAACAGTAATTATGGAAGGGAAACTAAAAAAATTTGCGGAGAATATAAAGGCAATTAAAGATGTTGTTGAAGAAAAGCATAACGAAATAAGAGATGACATTATCCTAGCAGTCTCAGGATTGGCAAAACACCTTGTTCAGCTGGATGAGAGAGTAGAAGAAATTAATGAAGCCAATCTGAACTTGGAAAATAAAGTAGGAGACATTATGACTAAAACAGAGAAGGTGGATGATGAATTGGTTATGTTACAATATAGATCTATGGAATTTGCTTTGAGATTGAGAGGGATGAAAGAAAATAGCCAGGAAAATCTAAAGGACATTTGTGCTGAAGCTATGGCAGAGATAATCAAAGAAAGAGCAGAAGAGGTGGCAACCCGAATCGATAAAATTTATAGGGTTAACTCCTGGGTGGCAAGACAAAGGCAGTTACCAAGAGATGTGGTGATCTATTTTACAACCAGGAGGATCAGAAATGACATTTTACAAGCTTCCTACAAGAATAAGGTTCAAGTGGCTGGACAAGAACTAGTGGTTCTGAAAGAGATCCCTCCCAAAATGTTGAGAAGTAGAAAGGACTTTGGCTTCCTGGTAAATGAATTGAGAAATCAGCAAGTGCAGTACAGATGGGATGTTCCAACCGGTCTAATAGTGAATTATGGTGGAGAAAGATATCGTTTAAACACAGTTTGGAAGGCAAAAGATTTTTATGTCAATGTTCTAAAGGCTGGATACCCACCCTCACCGGGGGGGGGGGGCGGGCAGAAAGAAAATGGAGATGTTACAACAAGAGAAAGATGGAAAACATTGGGAAGGATAGCAGTAATAAAAATGAATGTGCTACCCAAGTTCTTATTTTTGTTTCAAATGATACCAGTGCTTAAGAAAGATGGAAATTTGAGGGAGTGGCAGAAAGGGGTTAATACTTTTATTTGGGCTGGGAAAAAACCAAGAATAAAATTGAAAATTATACAGGATGTACGTGAGAGAGGAGGTCTTAAAATGCCTAATTTAAGATTGTATTATGAAGCAGCTGTCTTATCACAAATTAGTGACTGGTTCAATTTAACTGAAGAGAGAATGTTAAATATAGAAGGTTATGATTTGTTATATGGATGGCATGCTTACCTGTTATATGAAAAAAAAGTGGATAAGGTGTTTAAAGATCACATACTTAGAAATGCTTTGTTGAGGGTTTGGAAAAAGTATCAATATAAGTTAAACTACAAGATACCCCTATGGGCAAATCCCAGACATGCAGTAGAAAATATAAGTATAGAACAAAAACAGGAGGTGATTACTTACAAAGAACTTCTTTATATGGAAAGGGGCAAATTGCAATTGAAACCTTTAAATGTATTGAAAGAAGAAGGGATACTTGGTTTCAGTATGGTCAGTTTCAAGCTAGATGGAGGGAAGATCAAAAAATTGGTGTTATGCAAAATGAGGAAAATTTGGTAAAACAGATTAGAGATCAAAGTCAAATGCATATTAAAAGGTTGTATAATGCATTATTGGAAATAGATTCAGAAACAGAATTGGTTAAGGATTGTATGATAAAATGGGCACAAAACTTTCAGGAACCAGTGATGATAGAAACATGGGAAAAGATTTGGGTTAGAATGTTAAATTTATGCAAGGACAAAACTTAAGAGAAAATTTTTATAAAATGTTTTATAGATGGCATTTAGATCCTAAAAAATTATCATGTATGTATCCAAATTTGCAAGCTAAATGTTGGAGATGTGACTGTGATGATGCAACTTATTATCATATATGGTGGACTTGTAAGAAAATCAAAGCATTTTGGATAAAAATTTGGGTGGGTGATGCAGAATATCTTGAAAAAAAGGTTGAAATTTACTCCGCAATTGTTTTTATTGGGTATAACTACGGATTGTACAGCATTAGAGACTAAATTGATTTTAAATTTGATATCAGCAGCTAAGCTGTTGGTAGCGCAATATTGGAAGAAGGACTTTTTGCCTACTATTGAAGAGTGGACGTTGAAAGTAGCGAACCTAGCGGAAATGGCGAAAATCTCAGCGTACTTGAAGGACTATACACAAGAAAGATACGTATTGGAATGGAGAAGATGGACTGATTATATTCAAAATAAGTATCAGACAAGAAAATATCAAATAGGTTATGAATGAATGTTAAATTTTAGAAGTATTATGTTATCTATAGTGGAGTTAAGGTTTCGGGGGGGATTTGGTAGTTTAAAGATAGGTTAATTTAGCTTATGATTGTTAACTGAAATAACGTGTATTTTGCTCTGGGAAGTCTGGGGGGGGGAGGGTGGGATGGGGGGAAGGGGTGTGGGGGTGGTGGGGTGGAGGGAAAAAAAGGGGGGAATATTGGAGGGAAATTCTTTTTTTTTTTGTAAAAATTTTCAAAAAAAAAAAAAAGAAATACATCAATATAAAGATTCTATGTGTTCAAAAAGAACAGAAATAATAGAAAGGGAAGAGGAACAAATAAAAGCAACACTGTTATTTGGGTTGACTATCCCCCATCCTAGCAAGAAGAAGATGATGCCTTGTGAAAGCAAACTGCAGGTCTTTCAAGCCTGAAGTAGCAGTGATGGGAAACTTGTATTACCCCAGCATCTGTTGGGAGAGAAACTCTGCCAAGCATGGTCCTTCCCAAAAATTCTTGACTTGCTGACAACTTTCTCTTTCAGGGAGTTGGGACAGGCAGAATAATATCTGTTACTCTCAACAATACTAAGAAATAGGCAAAGCTTATTTAGAATAGTGAAAGTAGCAGGAACATTGGATATAAGTGAACACCAAATGCTGGTATTATTGATTTTAAGGAAAATTGAATTGAAGTATAGTGTAGTCTAACACACAGCCTGAATTTAAAAAAAAAAAAAAAAAGTGTACACATTGGACAAACTCAGAAGAATTAATAGGAGTATCCCATGGCAGGAAAAGCTCAAAATGAATGGGAGTTTCTTTAAAAGGACATACAAAAATCACAATTGCCAACAGTTCCAGTAAGGGAAATAATATGTGATCCACCAGGAATTTGTCAACAGCCAGGTAAAGGACATAACTGAAGCTAGTGATTGATAATTAGGGAATACTCCTTATTCAGAATGATTTCAATCTTCCCAGCCAGATGAACAGTATCACAGGATACTAAAACTAGCCGATGGTCTGGCTGAACTGTGGTGGCCTGAGCACTCTTTCAGTGAAAGCGGGCTCCCGAGCTCCATTTTCACCTGTAACGGCTTCCTACAACCCTCTTCCAATGAAAACAGAACTTGGGAAGGCCACCCACAGCCCTCACAAGCTCTGTTTTCACTGGCAGTGGCACTGCAGGCGGGTCCTTCACTGTTTCCAGGGTGGCCCTGTGGGTCAGATCTAAGCACCCCAGATCCTCCCCTTGGGCCTTGAGTTTGACACCCTGCTCTAGATGTATCACCAAAACTTTTCATAGAGTACCCCACAACAATCAAATGGATGCATAATTGGTCCCCCAAATGTTACTTGGAAAGTCCTAATCCATGACTCCTCTTCACCATGGATGTACCGTAAGATTCGGTTCTGAACCTTCTACTTTTCAAGATTGTAATCAGTGATTTGGGTGAAAAGATGGAGGAAACGCTTGGCTGCAGATGACACAAAATTGAATGGGATAACTAATGCAAAAGAAACTGGCCACGCGGCGCTCATACTTCATCTTTGGAATGACACAGGGAGGATTTGTTAGAAGGGTTTAACACCTGAAAGGATGTTGCTCAGAAGGTTACTGAAGAAGGCTTCAGTGAATTTGTTCAAGGGGATGCTGGATAGCCTGGGATGCTTTAATCTGAAGTGCTACTTGAGTAGCACGGTGGACCCGAAGACCCAAACGGCCCTTCCAATTCTGATTTTACCGGGTGGGGGGGACACGTGTGGGGGGACGGGATGATAATCTGAAATAGACATGTCTCTGCTACCTACCAGAAGGACTGAAAAGCTACTAGGCTAGAGAGTATTTTCCTCGTTTCAAAACGAAGAACGGTTTTTCCAAGCCCCTTTTTGATATACAACAATTCCACTGACAAGGAATGCAACCGATCGAGAAAATTTAACCCTCCAGGACTTCTTCGCGTAAAATGCAAAGGTCAGAAGACGGTACGCTCTTCTCCTGGTGCGGGTTAGGAACGGGAACTCTCCCGGCCACTCGTAGCCCGCTGAGGGTGGAGTCAGCCAGACCCGCTACTTTCCCCCACCCCGTCCCTTGGCCCATGCAACAGAGGGGGCGCGGCCTCATCGGGCGGGGGTGGAGTGTCAGACAGTCGCGGGGTCTCTGCTGGGCAAGTCCGCTTCGTTGGCAAGGAGCTCGGCTGGAGCTAGGAGCGGCGCACCGCAGGCGGGAGAGGCCGTTAAGGTACGCCGGCCCTGTTGACCAGTCCTGTCCGATCATCTTAACTGCTCGGCGCGAAGATGCTCCGCTGCTTTGCTTCTTGCCCGCAAGCTCCCTCCCCTCTCTCAGCTTAACACCGCTTCTTCCGAGGCTTCTCCCAAATTCCGCGCCTCCGCTGCCTTTGCCTTTCTTCCCCTCCCGCTCGAGTCTGAAAAATGACTCCGCGGACTGAGGGTCCCAAAGCGGCTCGTGAGCGGGGACACTTCCTCCCGCTGGTTCCCCTGGCTCGCTTGCGCCTCTGCTCCTTTGATCCCCAGCCGCCTTTCCCTTGACTCGTTGTCCCCGCCGTCGCCTCAGATCGGCCTCGATTGCCTCGAGTGGCTTTTGAGAAAGCGAGCTAGCGAGTCCCTTCAAACTCCAGAGAAAACCTGTCCGCTTGCCTAAATTCTGTCCAAATTCCTTCGCCGTGTAATGTAAGCACGTTAGTGCTCTTCCCCGCTGCCATCCCCTGAGCTGGAAAAAGAGCCGAAAAGGATAAACACCATCTGTACATCCCCCCCCCCGCCTCCTCCTCCGCCTCCTCCTCCTCCTTTGATTCGCCTCTCAGTGCCTGTTTTTAGGCTGGAGAAAGGCGGGGCGGCGTAGTGTGGTCATCTACAGCTGTTTGCCATTAGAGTGAGGCGCGCGTTCGCTGTGAACGGGAACGCTGGTGTTTAAAGTTGTTTTCCCCCGCTCTCTCTTCTCTCCTTCTCTCTTTCTTTTCTCCCCTCTTTTGCTCCTCTGCCTGCCAGGCTGATATTGATAACATTGCATTGGGAGGTCCCAGAGTGGAGAGAAATCTTGGATTTCTTGGAGTTGGCTGCCCCCAAGTGGTGGGGCAGGAAGACCATTATGAACTCTGGAGGTGGATGCTCAACAGTGAAGGAAAGAGTGCAAAATAAGGAGGGAGTGGAGCAACAGGCCAGGTTCCTGTTAACCTTGCTCAGGGCAGCGAAGGAGTGGGTGCCTGCTGGGTCCTCCCCTCCCAAAAAAAGCCAGCTGGGCAGTAGGAGTCACTTGGAAAGACTGTGACTTTTGCTTCTCAGTTAATTTTGGATAGCTGTCTTGAAGGCAAGCCGGATAGCCATATGCCCCATCCAGTGTGTGACAACCATGATATTAGAGATCTCCCTTTGTCACCGAACCTGGCAAAACTGGCCAAGGATGACTTCCTTTTCTAGAGCAGTGATGTCCAGAGCTCTAAAGCTTAGCTAAGTGTTAGGCCCCCACAAGGACTAGTCCATTAGCCAGATGGCTACAGTTCTGCAATCCTTTCAGGTGTTCATGAAAAGCATCCTGGTTTGCCTTTAAATGTGATTTTTAAAAAATCTAAACAACAGCAGCACCCATACTGTGTAATAGAGCTATTTTTTACCCTTCAGTGTAAATTTCTATGCAAAAGAATTTCCTTTCTAATCTGTAGTGTAATCCCACTGGATTCCTGGGTTTGTATTAATTTCATGAAAACATTTGCCATCTGAATAAGGCTAGTTGTTTATTTTGTAGAGACCATTCAAAAGGGTGGGGCCTGCCAAGTGTCTAAGCACAAGGTGGAGTGGAGTGTTGTCTCACTCTCTAATGTGATGCTTGGTGGAAACAAGTTCCTTCAGTGCATTTTGAAGTGATCTGTGTGATCATCTCCATACTGAGATTTATCTGTAGGGAGAGTTAAAAAAAACTAGATATAGTAGTTGCAATCGTATGAATGAAGTTGCACCCCTTTTTTCATGGTCATGTATCAACATGCATAAGAAAAAGATGAGATTTGGTTGCATTGCCATGACCACCATCTTGACCCTCTGCTCAATAGGCAATGCCAATCATGAGTGCAGTTAGAAACCACTAGAGATCAACCAGTGCTTTATCCAACAGACCAAAAAGAAAAATCATTTAGTAAGTGTCTTTCTAACTGAGTAAGGAGTTACAAAAATTCCCTGAACCAAAGGGAAGAGTACAGTGCTAGTATCCCACTGCTCCCTGTGGTTTCAATACATGCCATGTGCATTTGGTCATTTTCAGGAAAACTGAGTCATATGTATAAAAGGAAAACCATGTTTTCCCGAAAATAGGACCCTGTCTTATATTTTTTTGAACCAGGAAATAAGTGCTTGGCTTTATTGCCATACACTCAAAAGCCCGATTGGGGTTAAATGTTGGAAGTGTCATCAACTACCAGGATCATATTATCATATGTGGTGGACATGTCTAGAGCTAAAAACTATTGGATTAAATTTAAGACTTGGTTGGAGGAAATGATACATCAACGTATTGAATTTAAACCAGAATTGTTCCTACTGTGTATCCTATCTGAAAAAAATAGCAAGGAAAAAGTTTATCTGATAATACATGTAATAACAGCTGCAAGGATTGTCTATGTACAAAATTGGAAAGCGGAGAAAATACCTTTTGAAGAAGAAGTAATAAAAAATATCTTAGATTGTGCAGAAACGAACAGATTAACTTTGATGATTAAAGATAGAGAAGACTCAGAATATTTTAAAATATGGAATGATTTTTATTATTGGTTGGAGAAGAGATATAAATGATTAATTATATAAATATGTAAAAATATGTGATGAGTTGAATATTATGTTAGTGATGAATTGATATTGTGGACTGGATAAGGATCAAGATAGAAGTAATGACAACTATACAGAAAAAGAAAGAACTTTGGAAGATAACACCGAGATGTCACAGGGAAGAGAAAACTGATGTATTAAATGTTTGTTTATCTAAAAAAATGAAAAACTTTTTTAAAAAAGCCCGATTGGGCATAAGCTCAATCAGGGGATGTCTTATTTTGGGGGAAACAGGGTATATAATTTCCCACTGGAAACTGGGGATGGCAGGACAGGTAGTTTTTCAGGCAGGTGCTCTTCCCAACAATTGCAACCACAGTACAGGTTTCATGTAGTGTTGCTGGGAGTAATCACTTGCTTAAAGGCAGACAGGAAGTCTGATTGTGCATGCTGCACAGATTTGTTTTGTTTTATTTTATTTTGCAAGGATTGTGAAATTATCTAGAAGAATTAAGATTATGTTGCTGATAAAAGTTCCTTGTGAAATCCACCAGGGAGCTCCAAATTCAAATTACAAAGGGAAGGCAGGAGTTGTTGTGAATGGAAAAATGGCCCCATCCCAAGCCCACAAGGCTCCACCATCACAAATTGCTAAATTGAAGAGTTGCTATGTGAGCTGTACTGTGTCAGAGCTGGAAGGATGTCGGCTTGCTTGCCCAAGGAGGACAATGTTGTAGGAATATAGCAGGGCCATGCTGATGCCAGATTAGGGCAACTGCTCCATATTGAGAGGTCCTTGCTAAAGGTGCGAGATTTTGTAACACTGCGGTTTTCCCTAAGTGGCAGTTTACAGAGTAAATTTAAAAAAAAAAATCCATTCAGGGATAATTGTCACACTGAGGCTAATCCTTTCTCCTCTCATAAATTGTGTTTGTGGAACAAGGTTACTTTCCTTCTTCAGGATTTCATGTTCTTGAAAACTTTGAAAAGAAAACTGCCTGAATTTTGCTCTCTCCTCTTAAACCCACAGCATCTGATGTTATAATATATTACATTTATCAGGTGATTAACAAACAATTATGTGGGTTCATGTGGCTATAAGATTGTAATTGGAGGACCCCAGTATATTTATGGTAGTAAGAATTTCAGCTATAGATATTCAATCTTCCCCCAAAGAGTATAATACAGAAAGAAAACAAAAGGCTTTTGGATTCTCAAGCAATTTTCAAATAATGCGTTTGCAGAGTATTTGACAAGTTGATAATAATAAATTCGCAGGGCAGGAAGCTTCTCTTCCCAATAAGTTTCCTAGGAAGGAGATGGTGGGACCTCAGAATTACATTTGTTCATCTCTGGTAATAACACAGGTCTTGTCCCATTTGAAAGGTAGCAAAAAAGTACCTTAGTGCTGCTGGGGAAGGAGAAGTAGAAAGCTTTCAACCTACTGCTTAGAGGATAGTGAATATTTCACCAACAGAACAGAAGGGAAGAAAAGACAGCAAACTCAAGGCTGTGTTTGGGAAGGATACAAACAAGATACAGGGGAATTGATCATGTTCCACCTCCAGTGGGGTATTATAATAATCAGAGGTCATAACACCACAAATGACTTCAGGCAACAGCAATTGACCCTTCAAATAACCTTTTGTGATGCACTTTTATTCCATTTCTGATCAATATTCAATTCTTTTCTGACATGCTTGCTTGGTCTAAGCCCCAACTTTTCAAATTTTGCCGTTATTATTTTCCAGGATGTCACACCTCTGTCTCCTAGAACCACAAAGGAAAAAACTCAATTCTTCAGGTAATACACAATCTCCATCTGCAGAACTCTCTCCCCAAACCTCCCTATGAACAAAACATTGCCTGCAGGACATCCTGTAGTTCCAAAGTTGTTGGCTGAAGGGCCTCATTGTATAAATGAGCTCTGAGAGTTCAGCAAGATCAAACAATTCACTCTTTCAAGCCAGATGGAGTCACTTATTAAAATGCAATACCCTCCCTCCTTTTGCCCTTTCCCCACTGTGGGAAGATGTTGGGGTATGGCCAGCATAATTTAACCTTTGCTAAATTTAAATTAGCACTTAATCTCACATATCCACTTTAGTAACTTGAAGCATAGAGAAAGAACCTTAATGAACAATGCTACGTTCTCCACAACACCTTCAGTGTCAATCACCAATTTGTAGTTACTTCTTCCTAGTCTTGCAATACATTGGTGCAGTGCTTGTGGCAAAAAAATGGGAATTCTTTTGCACATTCTTTCAGTTATTGCTCTGAGCTTTAATCATTTAATTGTGGCTGATCAATTAATGCTTGAATTTCAGATGATGTGGGTCTTCAGAAAGTTGTTCCTTTTATGCTATATAGTGCAGATTGTCTGTCTTCCCAAATGGCCTCTTACATAGGCAAGTCACAGAGTCTCCAGTCCTTAGAAATCACGAGCAGCCTGATTTGTAACTGACT